TGCGTTCGAAATATTTCGAACATTCAAATGAAAATGTTAAGCGGTATCTTGCCTTGTCGAATAAAAATTGTTTTGAATAGTTCCCTATTTACGTAATTAGTAAATATGTCAGTGAACTGTTTTGAATGTTGTAAAATTTTCTCAAATCAGTCTAAGCTTTCTACGCCGATGCAATGTGGAGAAAATGTGCATTTAAATAAGTGTCTGTAAGATTTCCAGTAGCTTTTTTTTCAAACCGAAAGGACTCTTACATTAATGAAGTTTATTTTACAGAAATTATGAAAGTTGTTGGAAAAATACAAACACTGTTTTATGTCCGACATTACTTCAGTTTTTTATGGAAGAGTATTGAAGAATTAAGCTATTTTAAACACGTTCTAGAACGAGACAACTTTTGAAAACATTCACTTGAAGACAACGATTTTGCCAACCCATGCAAGATTAACCGTAATATGTCATTTACATTTATCATAGTTCATTAATAATTTGTTTATTTTCAACAACAATAAATAAATTTAAGTTTATAATAATACTTATATAATAATTTATTATAATCCTTATCTTCACTCATAAACGTGTATTACGTTAAATATTTTAATCTGGTGCAAAGTTAACAATCTCCATAAGTTACTACAACAAAATAAACAATCTTGGACGGTTAATATCAAAGTCGTCAATATACATTAGGTTAATGTGATTTTCTTTCTTATTACTTAAAGTACAAGTTATTTATTCTCTATATTTTAGTTATGAATGTAACAAAACTATGTACCTGTAGAAATAAATATAAAATTTCTTATTTTTATTCCTAATCGTTTTTATAAACTTGCTCAGATTTTTTTTTAGGTTGTTCACCGTTGTCACTTTTGATGTCATTTCAAAGATTGCACATGCGCAGTTGACGGATCGGGTTCCTGTAATTAATCGCTCCTCGAAACAAGTGCAAAATCCTTTGCCTTGACATGCAGGCAGTGGTGCTTCGCTTCAACGGCAGTCAAGAGTCAGAGTTCACCTTCAGAACAAATGACATACAAAATCATTGTGCTATTTTTAATGCAATAAATACAAAGCATTTATAGTGCAGTTTCATTTTAATTCAGCAAATATAGAACACTTCAAGCGTAAGCTACAGACACCAACGATAATCTCCATACAACTAGGAATCAGACAAGGTTGCATTTTGTACCCAACATTGTTCAATGTTGGGGACCAACTATTCAAAAAGGCACTTGAGTGACAGCCATATAGAATATTAATCAACAGGGAACTACTCGATGTAACTAGATAAACGGATGATACAGTAATTCTGTCAGAAAATATTGAAGGTCTCCAAATTCAGCTTGATCGTATTGCTATATCTGCGTAACTGCTTTGTATCCCAGTTTTTTTAATATTTGGATAATTAAAATTACCTCCTGTCTTTCTGTTGGTTAATGGGCCTCCGTTTGTATCGACGTTGTCTTATATTTCGAATGCTCAGTGCTACTCGAATACAATGTATTGTGTATAAGTGCCACTGCACCTAACAAAGGCCGAGCATTTTCATTTTCCATTGTATTAATTTTCAAGCAAATATTAATAATACCAAATCAAAAATGTAAGGTTAGAAATTTAGATGTGATCTTTAACGCCAACGCCAACTGAAAGTTTATAAATGCAGTATATGATAGCCAGCTCCAAGGTCAACGGCGAACGCCAACGTAAAGTTTATAAATCAGCCTATACCTTTGTATATTTGAAGCATAAGAGCATCTACATTATAAAAACATGCCAACGCTGCTATATCAAAATTTTTTGTTCCATGTTTGACATTTGCAGCCATAATCAGCTTATACTTTCGGTAAAGTCAACTGATAACTTTATTATGTACATAATGTCACTGTATTATTTACTTTTAAAAACTGTTTTAAAACTATTTACTTTTTTTTTGGCAATTCTCAACACTGCCAAACACCAATATTTCGTTCTGTCAAACCCATTTGAGGCTATCTTCACTGGGACCAAATGTGAAAAATGTCATGTTTTTAATCATAATTTTTATAACATACCTGGTCTTTCTTTATCTTGTCCGTTTAATTTACAGTCTGAACAGTATTTGTTCCTATCACCAAGATACAGAATCTTTTGGTTTCTGTAACCAATAATGGTTGCAGCTCCAGAACATGGAGAGTTGGCGTTACAATTTGTTTTATATGATTTCTTTGACCAAGAGCAGTCCGCAACAACAGTTATAAAAGGATAGCAATCTTCATTAATATCCACGCTCTTTTGCTAATTTGATTTCTTCTTGTCCAGCCTCAAGCATTGATGTTCAAGAACTTTCATGCTATAAGCACAGTTTAATCAAAGAATGTAGACGCACATGCGTCTATATTCTTGTATCCATGATCCTCGTTATATCGGGGTTTTATCCCTCGTACCATGTCATCACCAACACGGGCATTAATAGTGTGACCAACTCAAATTCAATCAAATTCGGGATAAGGCTAAAAAAATACCTGAAATCCGGGACTTTTCAATGAAAATCGGGCCATTTTTTATTTTTTTAAACAAGGACTGTAGTTTGTTTACCTACTAAGAATGGTTGACAAAACCGAAAAAAAAAAACATTTATCAGCAATCATTACATCGTTGAATGCGGCACACCTAGGTCGGCATGATTGATGTATGTAGAATACATGAATTGTTATCGTTATTGAATAATCTTTTCGGAAGAGTATAATTAAAATACAGAAACGAAAAAAAGTGCACAGTTTGAGTTTTCCTATAACATAATACCACGATAAAATGCATGCGTTTTGGATGTGGTATTAGTATTACACTCTAGAAATTTTCGACTTTTTCGACCCAACAATTCAATTTGATGTGAATTTTTAGAAGAATAACGTATTTTAAATTTCAAAATAAAATTTTACCAAAAAGTTAAAAATTCGGATGGCACGGAAGCCTTGTCCGGGACGCGACTTCGTAATTCGGACCATGTCCCGGATTTTTCGGGCTAGTTGGTCACACTAGGCATTAAGGTCACCCATAATGTACATAATATATTCATTCTGTGGCCTTTCGTTTACTGTGTTTTGGAGGAAATAAAAGTTTTCATTGTGTTCATAGAGGTTTTCGACTTCAGTGTAGTCATATAGGTCTCCTTTGTCGCTATAATTTATTTATAAATTTTAGGAATATCTGGGCACCCCACTTGAACTTACGTGACCTTACATTTCTAAGCAATTCTCTCATCTATAATATTTCTTCTATTATCGCCTGATTTTTAATTGTAGTATTTTAGAGAAGCATGCTTTTATTAATTAAACTATCGGGCATAAAATTATAGTCACCTCGCAATTTCACGTTATTTTAGATATTTATTTTTTGGGTTGTGATCTAGTTGACTAAAGTCGACTTTCCACTACATGGTTTTTTTGTGTGTGTGTGTTTTGGCTTGGACAATTGTCATTCAGCCAGTCTCAATCAAGATAAGTTTATTAATGTAGTGTGTTTTGTGTGTGTGTAGAGTAATTGTCTTGATACTTAGCAAAGTCGACGTCATTGTCTTTGCTAAGAGACGCTAATTGTATCCGAACGTCTGCGGTCCCTCCGGTGAGTACCGATCGCATAAGGATAGAAATTATTTTCATTCATTAATTTTTTTAATAAACGAAAATTTCTCCACCCAGGTGAGATTCGAACTCACGACCTTTAGGTTTAAAGGTAGGCGTTCTTACCACTGAGCCACAGAGGGGGTTTACACTACATGATTTATTATATGACAATATCATATGAGATTTTTTATGATTCCTCGTTTCTATGTTTTAAAAAATCATGTTTACACTGAATGATAAGTAGTGACTTATGATATGAGTGATAATGAGGTTATATTGATTTTCATTTTGTTTCTGGTCATATAGATATTAGACACAGTACAGGTAACAACTAGTAGATTTATAAACTATTATAATGGAAAATGAATCTTTGTTTGCATTGGCTTCTTGCCTTTTAATAATAATAAGCCAGCAACAACTGCGTACAGCTAATAGTAAGAAGAAAAAGATCAGACGTATTTTAGGCTCGTGGATGGCTCTTAGGGAATTAAAATTCGGAAAGCCAGCAAGTTTTAAAAATTTTTGTCGCATGTCATCAAATGCTTTTGATAAACTTCTATATAGAGTCGAATCTCTTATAATTTATAAAACATTCGGGTACACAATTGCGTGAATATCTATAATCATAATGACATAAGAATAACGCGCGATATGTAAATATGTTGGTGTTATCGGTATTAAATGAAGAGTTATTAGCGAGAATCATATGATTTTATCATGCGGAATAGATACCGTCCTATTCTCTTGTGACGAGCGCATGACAATGCTTATGACAAATCACACAGTATAAACATGTAAATTTCACTCCATGACCAAATCATATGACAAATCATGTAGTGTAAAGTCGACTTAACTGATTGCCCGCAAAAAGTTTATGTGAAGTTTAATAAAAATGAACAATTTTATTTTGATACGCTTTTCGTTAAAACGAAATTTTAAAAATGAAGATTGTACCGTTCCTGCATCTGTAAGTCGCGAAAGCTCTAGAATTTCTGAAGGCCGGCACATGTCTTTGTAAACGTCTCCCTATTTCATCACAAATATGTTCAATACAATTTAAACCTATGATTTAAATAAATCTCATGATTTGATTGCTTGAGAAGCTGCTGTGATCGTTCGGTTAGCACTAGTAACCAGAAAGCGGTCGTTTAGCTGTTTTAGCGCTGCTACGCAGTGAACCAAGTTATCGAATGAGCTCGGTATCTTCCTCTCCGCCGATACACTGACAGACTTACTTCGTAACGTTTCTCACAGTTTCTTGCTGACCGCGGCTAACTTCTTAAGCCGCAGCAACAGAATTTGTGTTCATTTCAATACAGTAACAATGACAACACTACATAAGGGACATACCACATTTCTGTATTGTGTAACACTTTGGTTTGGTAATCAAAACAATGCCAATTGTTTTTAAAACCATGTATTATATAAAATTTAAAATAATTTGAGTTTACAAGTGAATATTTTAATCCACTAAGCTTAGATCAACTAGAAGTCTTTTGAGTTCACTAACAAATTAACAGCCGGATGCTTTTTTGTACCTTTCAGACACATCCTTCCAATTGACAATTTCAAAAATAGCATTTACATAATCTGCTCTGACGTTTTTGTATTGTAAGTAATAAGCATGTTCCCATACATCAATGCCTAAAAGCGGTACCAAACCAGTAGTTGCCTGAAGTGGATCCTGGTTTGCACATGTGGCGATTTGGACTTTTTCTAAAACAAAAAAATAAAGTAGGTATAATTGTATAGTCTATTCAGCGAACTTACACCGGTTTCCGATTAAGTAAATAAGGAATTATTTAACTGATCATCTATACATTTACGATTTATTAACAAAAAATAAGGGCAAACTGGATTATCTTACAAAAAAAATTGACGAGATCCATAAAATTAATAATCTTCTGAATCCTGACAATGTTTGAAAATCTGTAAGGCAGATGTAACACAATATTTTCAATATATCGTCAGTTTTTTTGGCTGTTCCGTTGACATTATCAAAGTTAAATTACTGATGCTAGCAACAAAACTCAAATATTACAAAAATTGTTTTGTATAAATTCGCAAACAATTTAAGCGATATGTATAGTCAATATGTACAATATTTTTTTTTGTATTTTCATTTACAAATTTATTTAATTTTTATTACAAATTTGCCTAACTACACACTAAACTTAAAAACGATTAATATCACATTTAATCACTTGCAGATACTCTAATCTGTAAGCTACATAAGTAGTTTATTGTGAAAAAAAAAACAATAGCGGTCCTTTAAAATCGGTACCTTCTGTACAAAAACGCATGTGCGATGCTTTAGGAATTAGGTAATCAAAATTAAGATCTGCAATAAAAAATAAGAATGGTAAACTGCCGGAAAACGATGACCGTAAATACCTCCACTCAAAATGAATCATATGTGGGAAGAATGAAAATTTGAAATTCATAATATGTACCATACATAATACATCAAATGCGTGCAATTCAGGAACTTTAGATTAAATTTTGTTTAAATTAGAAGTGAGGTAATTTGTTGCTGTTGTACACATGAATTGTGTTTCTCAGGAAATATGCCAATTTTAAAGAAGAGGACTTTTTTTATATATTTAGACAAAACATGGATATTTTCTAACCACAAGAATATGGCAAGATGACAACATAAATTCGATTAAGTATACTGGATTACTTCTCCTGGATAAGTAAAACTGCATCATGTCTTAGACAATGGACTTCCTATTTGAAAATATTAAACAAAAGTCCAACAAATTGGTGGAATGTAGACAAAATGAAAGAATGGTTGCCAAATGACTGCATACTGATTGCAGAGCATGTATTAAAATCTGTATTATTGTTTGACAAAACAACATGCAAAACCAAAAATCTTTGTGATAAATCAGATTATTGAAAGTTATAGTTATCAAGTTTTGTCTTTCACCATAACACTGTCAGTTTAATCCAATTCAATATTATGGGGAATAACAAAACAATGTTATGAAAAACATGTTGGGCCTAATGGTTATATTGTCAAGAAGTATGGCGAAACTATATATCCAAGTGCGAAATATTAATTGAGGATTGATATATTCATGAATATAAAATAAACGAAATAAGCCAAATCCTAATAACAATTAATGGTGACTACAGTGATGGCAATAATGTTATGAACAATGCTGACTAAATCGTTTTACTGAGTGTGACTTATTTGAAATTAAAACAATGTAGTAGATAAATTTGTAAATATAAATAAAATAAATTTGTTAATAAAAATAAAAACATTAATTGTACATATTATTGACTATAGATTGGCATTGCGGTATTGAAATCAGAAACTTTGAACAAGTCAAAACTTGTTCAGAACATGATTGATCATATAGTATGTTACGACATATATATATATATATATATATATATAATATATATATATATATAAAATATATATATATGGCTCTGTTAGTGCTACAGTCCTGCCAAATGAGTGGTTCTTTACATTAAACGAAGAAAAGCCACTATCAAAAGGATACATGGAAGATTCCGTCTCATAGCTATTAGATATTTTAGAACGGGTCAGGCTAGAGAATGTAATCTGGGATTAAAGGACCATAACAGATATGAAAAGGTTGCAGTGGAATGGGCCAAAAATTGAATCTATCTATTTATATGTGGCTTTGTACATACTTCACTGAACTCAGAGTGTGGTATAGCATATATTTGGCCCATTTTGGCTACATGTTATTCAAACATTCTTTTTAATATTGGTATAAGTACTGTTCTAAAATCTTAAACAACAAGAAAGTCATTAAAAACACACATACACAGAGATAAACGATTTTTGGCCTGCACCTCAACAGAAATTGATAAGGACCATATATACCCTGTAACATGGCAAACATGTTAAAATCATATTTGTGAAAGTGACAGAGAGGCAGTGATGGCAGTATGACAGGTAATGGTATGTACAAAAATTAGACCTTGTGGAATAAAAATACATGTTTTTTATTTTTTATTGTAGTATTGGTTTTTGGTGCAGAACCTGTATAAATTATTTATTATTAGTCAGTATTTGTTAAAAATGATTAATATGAAATCAATACAGTTAATATAATTACAATCCTGTATTATTAGTAATAGTTGTGATGAAATTAGAAAGAATGTCTTTAAAAAATGTTGCCAATATTTATAGAGGCCAAAATTGAAACAATGCCAAATTTTATGAAGGAACTTTTTGTTACATAAAACTCTATTTTTCCAACTGAAATATGGAACTTCAAATTTATACAAATAAATAAACATATTTTATTCACATCTTATTTAAATAATACTAAAATTCATAAAACAAAATGGTTTCTGTAAGTTCTTTTATTTAATAAAAAATTAACTCAATTTTTATCCACATTTTCTAACAACTGTAACTGTTTCTTGTTTCCATTCTTAATTATCAAAACTTATAACTTTTTTAAGTTTTCTTCTTTTCTTCTCAAATTCTGTTTCATCTACTTATCCTTTATTTTGTCCAAGTCTACATTGCCCTCCTCAGATTCACATAAAATCTGTTCCTCTAGTATTACCTTGTGCAGCAAATATGGTTCATGTAAGTGATAATGCCAAATCTCTCATATTTTGATGTTAGAAAAGTGCTTAACTATCTCTTTTAATGAAAAAAAAACTGTAGAAAGTTAAATGTATTAAGTATCTAGGTATGTTCATAGGCACATTATCGTTCATAGTCACTCTTAGCATGCTGCAATGAAGGATTAGTGTCCAAACAGTGTTTAAAACACTCAACAATGAGAAAAATATAATTTTAGGTGCTTTGAATCATGACTCAAAAAAGAATACCTAGTAATTTTTACTAAGAATAACGAGAAAATTACTTACAGTTATACAGTTATTCATATGAAACTCTGAACTTAATTTACTATTACTTTAAAAGAGCTATTTTGAATGGTAAATATATTGAATGAATTCTTACTTGAATTGGGATTATATCCTAACCATCCCCAGCCAGATCCTTGAATCGCAGTAGTTACAGCTGAAAGTTGTTTTTTCATGTTATCAAAACTTCCAAAAGCTTCATTTACAGCAGTGCATAACTCTGCACTGGGATTTGACTTAGAAGGAGATAAATTTTGCCAGAAAATAGAATGGTTCAAATGACCACCCCCATTGAATTTCAAAGCAGGTGCCAAGGAAATAACAGTACTAAAAAATAGTGTAAACGTGTACTTACTTAAATAATTTTATTTTATCTTTACCTTACTTAATATCTCCCTTAGAGGCAGCAGCTTGCAATTTTTCTTCAGCAGCATTTAAATTAGTTACATAAGTGTTATGATGTTTAGAATGATGTAAGCTCATAATATCTCTTGAAATAATAGGTTCGAGAGCAGCATATTCATATGGAAGCTCCGGTAGGGTATGCTTGGCTCTGACAGCACTTCTAAAATTCCAAACAATTATTACATATCAAATAAAAACTTACTAATAAACTTACCGAGCTGTAGTCCTTGTTACAGTTGCTAACTGCCTTACCACAAACATATTATTTTACAAATTAAAAGTCCAAAAGCCGACAAAAATTCGTTTCAACCTCTGCTGTCCAGCTGAACAGATTGACAGTGACAAAGACAAAGTGACATAATGACATAACAAGTGTGATTTTGACATAAGCGAAAGTGACGTAAAAACAGCTACACCTACACTGTAAAAAAAATTTTAGCAGATTTAGTTTTCCTCAGTATATAAATTTATTACCAACATACCCACAAACCATACATACTCGTATGTATGTGAATATACTACCTTATAAATATGATATTTTTACTAAGCTATTAACACTAATACTTTTAGGACTTAGATATACGTATAATTTAGTGATATTTTTATTGTTTTTTTTTACATAGTAATTTGACTTTGTTCCTCGTTTTTTCTTCTTAGGGTGCCTATCCGTTCCGAATGTTGGCGATCATTCTGGCTATGATGACTTTGTTGGTTGCTATACGAAATAGTTGTGTTGAAGTTTTTCTATTGACTATTCGGATTAAGATCGCAGCGCCAATGCGGTATCAATTTGAACCGAGCTAAGAGCCATTATAATAATTGTTTACACCTCATCTTGTATATTGCGATTGCGTTAGTTTTATGTTTTTGGAGTAGTTTTGTTCGTTTATCCATGGTTTTTTAAATTCAATATTTTTTGTTTGACTATTGTTTATTCCTACTGATTAATACATAGACAATTTTGTTAATTATAAGTTTTATTTTAGTTATAGACTTGTTAGAGTTAAAGAGTTAACAAGAACTTAAAGTTCTATTTTTTAATCCTTAAGTTAAATATCTTAGAATATATGTAAGTTTTTGGGTGGTGTACTAAAAATTCAAGATGTGCTGTAGAAGGAGAACAAGTTTTAAACTCGGTTATCTTATTTTGACTGGAAAATTCACTGACGTAAGTTATTAACCCACCAGGTGAAACACCAATCATAAACTAATTGTTAAATGGGATTTATATTGAGAATAAAATAGTATTCGGCAACACAAACACTTGGAGTCTGTACATAAATGTCAGTACAGTCCAAAATTAGCCTAACATTTTGAAAATCAGCAAAACAAACTGACATGTTTTTAAGAATTTCTCCTTTGGTGGGAAAATACACCAAAGGCCGTAAGTTGTGGCTCAAGATAGGTATTAATTTATAAATATAAGTTTTTGTTAAGTCAGCTGTTATACCAAACAAAGAACCCAAAGTGGCATAAGTCAAATTTAACTTAAACTTTGTAAGAACTAACATTATCCGCTGTCGAATGTTTACCTATGAACTCGTTTGTCCTCAATATAATTTTCAGTCATATTTACTATACAGTTATAAATAGTGAAGTTATATACACAAGTACAGTTTTTTAATTTAATGTCATTAACGATTTCATACAATGTAAACACTTTTGGAGTGTTCACTTGCACAACTGCATCTTTTGAGGAAAGAGTGCTATTCTGGACTAGAAAGTAAAAGTACATACTCTATCATATGTACAAAAGTACATACACTATCAATTAAATAAACAAAATTAAAATCGATTATATCTTTTAAGAAATGTCTTAATCTAAATTGCTAAGTGACTAAAACATGTGCAACTATTTGATGACCTGTTATGAAATATGTATAAACTGTGTGATAGTTCTTGGACAATATTTAAATGCTAAATGTTTCTATTAGTTATGGTTTTTTATTTGATTGTTACAGAACATGTAAAAAAATATATTACATTTTTTTTTCTCTTGGTTAAGATGAAAAGCAGAGGTACTGATTTCTTAAAATCAGCACCACCTGATCTTCGGCATTTTTTCTTTCTTATTGTATTATATGCATGTATAATTTTATATATTTTATGTATTGTATGAATTTGAAGGAAAAATAAAGACCTTTATTATTATTATTGTAATCTCCAATGACACCAAAACACAATATGCCTTCAATCAAATGGCCTTCAACGTGAAAGAAAATAAATAATGGCTCTTAACTCGGTTACTGCAATAGCCGCTAGAGGGCGTAATGCTTACGACGAATTGCCAATACCATGCTCTCAGGTTAGCAAGCCAGGATATTCTTCTTCCTTCCGGGGCCCTTTTTCCTTCAATTTTACCTTGTAAAATGCATTGAAGTAGCTTGTATCTGTCTTGATTTCTCATTATATAGCCCAAGTACTGTAGCTTACTGCCCTTCACGATGTTGACCAAATCCGCAGTTGTGTTCATTCTCCGCAGTACTTCTTCATGGTGACTTTGTCCATGGTATCTTCAAAATCCTTCTGTATGACCATAGCTCACCTGTTTGATAGAGTTTCCGCCTTTAATGTCACGTTTCTACTCCGTACAGAAGCACTGAGTACACACAACATTTAAGGAGCCTTATTTTTGTTTCTAGGGTGAGGTCATGGCTCTTGAACACAGAACTCATAGTCAAGAATGCACTATTTGCCTTTCCAATGCGACATTTAATCTCTTGGGCATTGTGCACGACTCATTGATTATAGTTCCCAAGTAATTGTATTGTGAGACTCGTTCAATTCTCATTTGGTTCACATACAGATTTGCTCCAGTTATGTTTTCCTTGCTGATGATCATTATCTTGGTTTTGCTGGTGTTTATATCCAGTCCATATTTTCTACTTGTTTCCGTTATTTTGTTCATTAAGTTTTGCAGCCCTTCTATGGCATTGGAAAACACTATTGTATCATCTGCATACCGCAGGTTATTGAGTTTGACTCCATTTATTGAGATACCTTCATCAATATCTTTTAGAGCCTCTTCAAAAATGTGCTCCGAGTACAGATTAAATATCAGTGGTGAAATTATGCACCCCTATCTCACTCCCCTTAAGATTTTAACCTGATCTGTATATTCTCCATCTATTTTAAGTCTTTTCCATCAATTCCTGTTCTCTTCAGCACTTCCATCTGTTCATGTCTGACTCTATCGAAAGCCTTCTTGTAGTCAATCAAGCACGCAAAAACATTACAGCTGACATCTCTACATTTCTGAAACAATATCTACACGCTAAATAAAATTCCCTCGTACCAACGGCGTTCACAAATCCAAACTGATTGGGCGCAATTTGTTCCTCGCATTTCCGGTAAATTGTTTTGTGGAGGACCTTTAAAAACAGCTTCAGCAGATGGCTCATTAGGCTTCTATGGTCCTATAATCTTCATAAACTTTTGCTCCTGGTTTTTTGGGCAATGGTACGAACTCCGATTTGAGCCACTCTACTGGTATTTTTCCTGCATTGTATATTTCATTAAATATTTCAGTTATTATTTTTATTTGTTCTTCTTCTAATAGCTTTAACAGTTCTACAGGAATTTCATCAAGTCCCGGTGCCTTTCCATCCTTGATTTGTCTGACGGCTGCTGTTATTTCTTCTTGTAGGATTTCGGGACCTGAATTTTCTTCAATAATGGGCTCTTGTATTGTTCTAAGGTCATGGAAAAGCTTTTCCAAGTATTCTTTCCATACTTTCTTTTTATCTTCCCTGGTTATGGTAAGATTGCCTTCATCTTCTGTTATTTTTCTGCTGTTGCATTTTCGGAACTTTCCAGCTATTTCCTTCACCTTTCGATGAACATTGAAGTTATTATATCGACTCTGATACTCCTCTATTTCCTGACATTGTTCTGTTTTTTATTTCTCTTTGGCTTCTCTTATTTTTCTTCTGTTCTCCGTTCTCCTCGTTTAATGAGGGTTATAACTTCTGTATTTAAATCGGCAGATTTACTTAAAAAAATTTAGTGTACGTAACGAATTGATTCTGTTTAAGGAAACCACAGAATAAAAATTCAATTTTTTCTTTTGTTCAAGGATGCATGAGAGGGCAGACATAATTTACCACAGGGACCATGTAAAGGTGATATTTATTTATGTCTCAATCTATAACCAATCCATAGATATATAAAATATTAATTATATTTCTATATAAACCTAATTATAGACTAGAAATATTTCTACTACTGGATTTTTTTTTTCGTTTAATTTCAAAACAGGCAAACTTATTTTCGAAATCTATTAAAATATTTGGTAACTTTAAATTGGCTATATAACGTTATGAACAGTTAAAACAATGTTCTCACTTATTATAATTACAGAATAAGAAAACATTTATTATAATTTGGGAAATAAAGCCAAGAAAGTTGAATAAACAAATTTTATAGACACATATTATTTAAAGAAGACGAGCGGTCAATTTGAAGTGCCATCTAGTGTCACTGATCGGAGTAGAGCCACGTCACTTAAAAGAAGTCAGAATTCCAAAATAATATCCCAAAATGAATATTTTCAGACTTACAGGAGATTTATCCCATTTAGTGGCTATAATTATTCTTCTGCAAAAGATTTGGCATACGAGATCATGTGCAGGTAAGTCTAATTGGTATATTTGGTCATTTTTGCCGGTACAAGCTACGTATACAGATTTTTGTGTTAGTTTTCTGTATAATTCTTTTTCTCGGCATATTCTTTTCATATGTGATAATTATATTGTAATTCTTAATATCTGGAATATAACAACCTGAGTTTTAGTAATAACCTTATTAATTTAATAACGCCCTTTTATATAAAACCTAACCTTCCACGTCAATGAATATGATAGTATTTTTACCATAATTGAAATTAGTACATATAGCTGGATAATGTACATTTATACATTGTTAATTAGCTACCCAGCTATAATTTTATGGTACATATAATGAAATCTTGGTTGCTTTTAACTAATACACTGTAGTTATGTTTATAATTTATAAATATTTTTATAATCAATTTTTCAAATGAAAAATGGAACATGTATTAATAATAAGTGTGGCACAATTATAACTTAAAATAGTAATTATTTTCCCTAAAAACTTATCTAAAAACTTTCAGAGTAATGAACAGATAATTGAATACAAAAATGTTTTTTGTTTTGCTTTAAAGCTGCAAACTCTCTTCATTTATAAATGTTATAAATATAATGTCATAAGAATATTTATATTGTTAAACAACAATATAAATATTGTCGTTTAATAGGTGATTATTAAACAAAACAGATATATCTAATAGATTTTCTAAGACACCAAATGTTTATATAGTGGATGGTTGTAGCTCAGCGGCAAGATACTGGTTTCATAAGCCAGAGTTCATTAGTTTGAATAATAACATTTTCATTTCTTAAAATGGTATGAGCTATTCACTGTGCTTCATAGGTCACATGAAGCCGTCAGTCCCCCTTAGCTACTTGAAACAGGGTTAAATATATGAATGGTGCCAGAACCTATCTGAAAGAATGCTCCCTGGCAGAAATGCCATACAATATTACTTATTATTATAAATATTATAGAAGACACCAAAATAATTTGATTGTTTTATTTATAGATTCAAAGTAATTTGTATAATACATTGTTTCTCTATTTACTACTAAAGTTTACTGTTTTAAATAAGGTAAAATGAAATTATCTCTGAAACATTTCTCTGTACAGGAAATGAGTCAATGCTCACAATATTAAGTAGTTTTTATAGTTGCTAAATTTGGGCTACCAGTTTCAAGGCTTACAAGATATACTCCAACATCAGGACCCAGTACATGTCTTTAACAAAAACTTAGAGCTAAGAACAACATGAAACGAACAATGTAAACTAAATAAAAAATAATAATAAATGAAATAAGCAAACAACTATAACATTAAGTGAGAGATGGACAAAATATATAAAATATTGAGACATTAGTGCCATTGGGTATAACCAATGTAATGGAAACTGCTCAATAGAGTCAGTCATTAATTATATAGGGTTGTAAATTTAAAATTAACTTTACAACAGAGTTATAACTTACATATCAATTACAAGAAAGGCTCTACTACCATTATAATCCTGTAAATCATCACCACTCTCAAGAAATCCATTTACTCAAATATAGCAATATTCTATATGGTAATGTATATGTACCAAGAAGTTTTTCTCAAATTTTATATTAGTTTTAGTTGTGCTTACCCGCATATATTATAGTTAAGTAACTAATATAATAGTGGAGGAAAACTTCTTGCTACATAATTGCCATATAATATATACATAGAAATATTCCCACATTTGAGTAAATGGATTTCTTGAGGGTGGTGGGAAATGGGCTAAGACATTAAAAGATATCTTTGAATTATATTAGCTATACACAGATCTGGATATTGTGAAATTTATTAAAGTGTAGAAGCTAATATGGGTTGAACACATTGCTAGGATGTCAGATAATGTATACATGAAGAGATTAACATCCTTAAACCTATAGGGCAGAAGAGGTAGAGGAGAACCACATAGAAGATGAATTATTGATGTGAAAGAAGACCTTAGACTCTAAAGGTCAGAAGATGAAGCGAAGTTGCTAGGAATCGAAGGGAGTGGTGACTTCTTAGTGAGCAGGTCAAGATCCTATTGAACCAATTATGATGATGATGACTTAAATTATTCTCAAACGATTTTAAATATTTTTTCTTATTTTATTTTGCCGGGAGATAAAAGAACCAACAAAATGATCACCTATAATATCACATCAGATATTTTTTGAAAATTCATGTTGAAAATGTTTTCCTGTATACTGATGACATAAAATCATAATAGTAGTTATTTTGCGAATAAAATACTCTTCTTCAACTCATTGTTATTCTCAAGAACTATATGCTGTCAATTTTGGGTTGATTGTATTTAGTCATTTACAAATTAGTACAATCTAATATTTTGCGAGTTACTGTATGGTCCATTAGGTATTTTTTTTTTTTCAAAAATCTAAAATTTGAATAGTTTGAGGACATTATCATGTAAAAAGCAGCTTTTGGAAAAATGGAATTGCATTGTGCTCAATCTTTGTTTAGGGGGCAGAGCATAAGGAGAAATATACAATATTAATGTTAACAAGTGCAACACTAAGTTCAAATTTCCAATTATATTTATTTTTATTATTTTATTTTAAGGTTAACTATAACAAATTCATAAAACAAATATTTGTTCTTATGCAAATAAGAACACATTGATAAGCTTATTTATGTATCTACTGTAAGAAACCAAATATAAAAAGTCTAGAATAAAAATGAAGCAATTAAAATAATTTATCAGCTAACCAAATAATTATGTTGATTTTTGTTAACTTATATTACAGTAAAAAATGAAAGTAAAGGGTGGTTTGTCTATAATAGACTTAACTCATTTGAATAAATTATCCAAAAAACTGTCATTTTCAAAACTTTACTTCAAACTTATTGTTACTTTATGTTTAAAAACTTTGTTTAAAAAAAAACATAAAATCAATACCTAAGCAACATAATATTATGAAATTAATGGCAAATCTTCAATATTTTATCTTAAATTTGCTATTAGGAGTTATGTATAGACAACTTTCATGTTAATTTAAATGACACTAGTCTGCTTTACAAAAACATGGTATGCAGCTGGGAATAAAAATACTCCCATCTTTTAATATACATCTTTTTATTTACAAGATTTTTTGTTTTAAGTATCTAATAAAAATTAAATCCTCACAAATATTACTTTTTCCAATATTTACCTATTCACGGTATGTTCAAAGATCCTAGCTCTATCCTCATAAAGCCCCATTTCATTTATAGCATTGTATGTCACTTTCATATCTTTCCAACTGTATAACCTTCGTTCAACCTACATTTTGTTAAAATAAATAAATAAAATCTCTTAATGTTCTAAATAATTTCGTATCCAACATATAATTTCATCTTTTTTGATTAATTGAGACTTTCAGTTATGTTTTCCCACCTCTCTTATTATTTTTTTCTCCCGTTATTTCAGGAATATTTTATGTCACTGTGCCCACAACTTTATATAAAGTCGGAATTTCGTTATTACAATAGAACAAATGTACTTTTCTTCTTGTATGTTTTTCATCTTCTTTGATAGCTTTTTCTAAGTCTTCCAAAGTCATCCTAGCATGATTCATGATTTCACTTTTTCTCTTCACATATAAGCCAGTAGATGATCATTTTCCCAATTTGGCTTATCTTTGAACATATTTCCACGATACAATCAACAATTTTTGCACTATATATTTTCCTTTATAGCTAAGGCACATTTGGTTGCACATTTAACTGAAATGAATCCTGAATGACTTTCCTCTCTCTTCGAATTCTCTTTAGGCCTATAAATCTTGCCTGGGTTAGGTTTTGATTTGTGAACACATTCAGAAAATGTAAAGTAAGGGAATCCCTAAAAACATTTTTTATGTTGTTTCCTCTGTTTCAATACATTACCTACTTGTAAAATCCTTTTATGCATTTTTCTAAAAATTGTCAATTTAAGAACACAAATTTGTTCCATTTGGTCCATAAAAATCAATCAATTAAAAATTCAATAATATTTAAAGCAGTGGTTCTCAACCTTTTTGAGTCATGTACCACAAAATTCTATTTATTATTTTTTGTACCACCTAACTGAAATATGTACCTACTTATCTAGCTAAGTAATCTAATTAACTATAATTTATATGCTGGAATTTTAAGGAATGGAAAAAATTAAATTCAAAAACAGTAAAAATTTGTGTAGGTTATATTTTTATATTTTATATTTATGTAGTTAGCATAACAAACTAATTAGTGAGAACATTGCGCTTGTGTATTTCGGTTCGGTGTTACTCAGATATAGTTAGGTTCTACATTAAGTTTGTTTCTGTTTAAGTTCTTATAAATATATAGCATTGCGGAAAATCCATTCTCTCACAGGTGTATTGTCGAAAAGGGTATCAAGTATTTTAAAGCGCATTTTGCAAGAGAAGATAAATCAATTTCATTATCTGTAATAAAGTTTTCAAATGTTAAACAATCGTGGATTAAGTTATTTTCAAGACTTGTTTTTTATAAGTTCAAGCTTCTTTTTAAACGATCCAACCTTATCAATAATAACAAAATGAGTGGTATGTTCTCCTTGTAAACTCAAACTCAAATCTTTAGTCTGGTAGATATATCACTGAGATATGCTAATTGGCACAACCAAATTTTGTCAGTAAACTTGTCTTTGAGACCATGATTTTGTGTAGATTATTATATTTGAACTTTGGAATAAAGCTCACATAATGGAGATCTTCAAGAGCACATTTCCTCTTGAAAGCCACCTAACCTCTGCATGTAGGAGCAAACTGTCATGAATACTTCACATTTCGGAACACAAAAGCTTCGAAATATTTACTGCTTTGACAACGTCGTTCAAGACCTGATTTTATTCATCTGGCATTTCTTTAGCTGCCAAAGCTTATCTGTGTATGACACAGTGAATAAAGACTAATTCCAGTACGACTGCTTTAATCCTTGTTACAACGCCTCCATGTTTACCTGTCATTACATGTGCATCATCTGAACATACCGCCACACACTTCATCCAATCCAAGGCATGTTTTGTAATAAAATATTTCACTTTATTACATATTTCGACTGTTGTCCTACAAGGAGGGGACTCGCAAAGTAAAAATTCGTTTATTTTATTTCCGTGCAAAAAGCGACAATAGACCATTAACTTGGCAAAATTTTGTTACATCAGTACTTTCATCTATTTGTAATGCCAATAAAATACTGGACTTTATGTGTGCTATGACGGTTTCCTTAATACCATTTGCCATTTCATGTATTCTTTGGCTAACTGTACTAGGTAAAATAAGTCTTTCCCCAATTTTATGGGGTTTTCCACACTAGGCTATTCTAAATTGGAAAAAAAAACTTTAACAGCATTTTCGTTGCCTAAAGAAAACGCAACTATGTTCTTCTGTCCACCTTTAAGCTTAGCTTCTTTCATTTTAAAAAATTAGCGGTTTTCCTTATATGTTCTTGTGCTTGAATGATTTGAACAGACCTCCAAACATATTACACACACACTTCATTAACATCGACGAAAGAAAATCCCATTTTTAAATAATTTGAATCCTATATGTCTGGTACCTGTTTTTTGTTTATTACGATTTAAGTTTAAATTCACGTTTTTTACCTTGCTTGAAATACATAGTAAATCACTTGTTTCTTTAACAGAACATTCTTCTAAAGCTTCTACAGGTCTTTTTAACCATTTATCCATTACTTTATAATTAAAATAACAATGCATGCGACTAACGTAAACTCACTTGTGTCTACTACCACTCACTTATCCAGTTATGTACCTACTAAACTTACTAAAGGCGATCTCGACTACTCCGCGATTTCACAATCAGTGTTACCGGTGTGACCGGCAATTCGACAATGCTCCTTCTCGTATTTTAGTTTTATAGTCACCTACTGAACTTAACGTAAAATATTTTAATTTTTTTTTTGTTACTTTATGCGGTGCTGATTTTAGCTTTGTTTTTGCGTTTTGCGTACCACCGCAATTTATGATATGTACCACCGGTTGAGAACCACTGCTTCAAAGGATACCTTACCAATAAGTTACATCTTACATTTGTAATATGTTCACGATACATTCATATATAACATTATGTTACAGGTATATCAGGAAAAAGTCAGATCCTCTTTGCTATAGTCTACACTACTAGATACCTTGACTTAGTGACATCATATGTATCTATGTACAATACTGTTATGAAATTTGTATTTTTGGCCACATCATATGCAACTATTTATTTAATATATATGAAATTTAAAGCCACTTACGACCACAACCATGACACATTCAGAATAGAATTTCTCATTTTGCCATCATTTGGTTTGGCTATGCTCATCAATCACGAGTTTTCATTTATGGAGGTAAGTCATTTTTTTTATTTGTTTGCGTACTTAGTTTAACAATTATTTTTTTGAAGCGAAGCTTTTATAATGGCGTTGCATTACTTTTTTCTCTACAGTAAAATGCTGAGGCAAGCGTCACGGACTAGCGTCACAAGATGGCGTCACGGGTAGTGTCATAGAACAGCGGTTCTTGTCATCATATATTTACTCTAAACAGGTTTAAATTAAAAACTGCATGAAAAATAACTAACAAAATACAGACATTAAATGAGAAAGGAATATCTGTGACTAAAAGATTCGATTCATAGAGATTGACAAAATTGAGTAAAAGTCATAAATGTCATCCAATTAATAACAGTATTGAATCATGATATCATTGACAAACTTACCAGGAAAAGAGAATCCATTCATTTATTATTATTATTCATTATTAACAAGTAATCAATTTCTACTACTAACAGATCTTCATCTTTTCATAATTCAATTATTTCAGAAAAATTAAACACATCTTACTGAGTTGTTCTGACAATACTCACATTATTTCTAATGTTGGCAACACCCTTAACAAAAAATTAACTAATACCAAAGATTCCATCCACTACATGAACCATAGTGGAGTTTACATATATTGACTAGCTCTGATCGTGATACTTCCTATATTAGTAGAAGATACAGATCATTATCAACTAGATCTGCAGAACACTCTCAAACAGGAAAACACTTCAGCATTTTCCCACCATTTGAAAGTTAACAAACACCATCTGAACATTCCTGATGGTGTCACATTAATTTACAACTTACAAGACAAAAATATTTTACGTATTATGAGGACTTGGAGATTGTTAAAGACAAGAGATCTGCCCCAATTGCGCCAATCGCCACTCATCCTTTAATCGTGACTTCACTCTTATATACCGTCAATTTTTTACCTAATTTTCAGTAATTTCTGTTGAGTCATATCAGTTACAATTCCCACTACTTGATTACTGTGGCCCTTTCTCCTCCTCTTCTTAACTAGCATTTAACTTTCGGGCCCTTTCTCCTCCTCTTCTTAACTAGCATTTAGCTTTCGACTTCCTAACTAAACACTCATTAACATCACACAGAAACCTATTTCATTGCATCATCCTCTTCATTAAGCCTTACAACCTTATTCCACACACGGTAATTAATTTAATTCACACATTTTTTCATATTCAATCCCCACTTCATTCATAGGATCTCTTCAAATTCCATCTTTTATCATTTGACATTCCATTTTAGCCAGTAGTTCTCACATCTTTACTAATACAACATACAGCCCTTCGTTTTCTTTGATTCTGTTACACACAATACCTATATGTTCTTTTTTGAGTGTTTGCCAAAAATCCTCTATCCACTGTCTTGAGGAACTGTCAATTTTCAATTAATTTTACTTCCTTCTTGTCCCTTTTTTCGAGCAGGGAAAAAGTATGTTCCCTTTAGGTGAAATCTCATAACATTGACCTTGTGTCATGACCTTAATAAATCTAACCATAATTGTCATCTAATTTAAAGGTTTTTAAACCTATTTCAGAAATTTAACCGTCAAAATTTTACCTTTTTATGTCATTTTAAAGTGGAAATATGCTTTCAGGTTTCACTGATAATGGTCCGACTGGACCGAAAACGTTTTGGAATAATTACCATTACTTAATTAATATTATAATTAATAACTATAATTAATACCATCATACACCAGAAATTTTTACTTCTTTTGAAGTGTTTTAAAATATTATATACAGCCAACTACTGGGATTTCTCCTTTTACTTTGTAATTGAATCATCTGTTTAAATTTTTATAATAATTTCATATAAATACAATTATTATTTTTAAACATTATTTAGTTTATATTAGGGCTTCCCAAACTGGGCGTCGCGTGTCAGCGCGGACTTTTAATAGAGAAAATATATTTATTTTATTTTAAATGAGTTTAAAATATATGTATTAATAAATAAAAATCGAATAAAAAATATAACATCAAGTCGATAGACCATTGAATTATCCGAAATTATTCAAAAAATTGTTCAATCCGAAAATTATCCGACGGTACACCAAATTATCCAAAAATCGGATAATTATCCAGACATAGGCAACACTGGAATCGAGCGCCGGTTGCATTCTGTTTCGCCGGTCGGCTCCACTCCCCATGTTCCGTACTGTCGCGCGTGTTATGCCATTTAGTCAAGCTTTTGTTTTTGTTTTATTACGCACGCAGTTTTTTTGCTATCATCAGTAGATAGTTACATCCAAAAGAATAGAAAGCGAAGTGAAGAATCAGATGAGAGCAGTAATATTAATTTAAGTAAAAAGAAGAAATAGGAAATATGATGACCAATATTTGGATTTTGGATTTACCTACGTTACTAAAGTATAACTTCCACAATGTGTTTGTCACAAAGTGTTGTAGTCTGAAAGTATGCTTCCTAATTAACTAAAACGGCATTTGAAATCAACTCACAGTCATTTACAAGGTAAACCAAGAGACTTTTTTGTAAGAAAATTGCGAGAACTAAAACATCAGACCACGGCTTTGGTTTCAAGAGCATCAATTCCTACCAAAGCATTGCTCGTCTCTTATATGGTAGCTTACCGTGTTGCCAAATGTAAACATACGATCACTGAGGAACTGATCTTATGGTTACAGTGATGGTTGGAAAATCGGCAGCTAAAGAAATAAAAAATGTACCTCTTTCAAACAATACGGTTAGTCACCGTATTCACGACATGACAGAAGATATTAGTGAGCAAATTATGAGGAAACTTTTAGGTTTATTTACCATTCAATTGGACGATTCGACTGATAGTAATGATGATGCTCAATTGATATGTTATGTATGGTACATACAAGAAACAAATATATGTAAGGATTTGTTATTTTGCAGAAAAATATGTGAAAGTTGTAAAGCTATTGATTTATTCGAGATTTTAAACTCATATATAACTGAAAATAATATTAACTGGGATAACTGTGTAGGCGTGTGTACGGATGGTGCCCGAGCGATGTCTGGACAGTATGAAGGACTACAATCTCTCATCAAAACCAAGGCTCCAACTGTAAAGTAGACACATTGTGTCATACAGAGAGAGGCCTTAGCAGCAAAGAACTTTACACCTGAATTAAGTATTGTGATGGATAGCATTATTAAAGTGGGGAACTACATTAAAACACGATCCGTGAAATCAAGACTTTTCCACAAGCTTAATGAAGAAGGGCTGAGCACACCTCTTTAATGTATTATTGCAACTCTCGTTGGCTGTCCAAAGGCAACGTACTCGCACGTGTATACGAATACGGAAATTAATTTTATACGTATCTACATACAGAATCGCGTAAAGCATTATTAATTCAGAGTTTATAATTAAATTATATGACATATTTAACAAATTAAATGATCTTAATAAGTCTTTGCAGGGAAACAATACTCATATCCTGCAATTGGCAGATAAAATTAAAGGTTCCAAAAGAAGTTGCTCTTATGGAAGAGAAAATTAGAAGATCAAGAAATTGACTGTTACCCTACTTTATAAGATAAACCGATGGCAATCATTGAGCCCTCTTTAAAAAATATGTTTACTCAACACATGTTATTATTGAGCAAACACTTTGAGAAATATTTTCCCGAAGATATGGAGCAATATGACTGGATCCAAAACCCTTTCCTGTTATAAACGCCAACGACACTTTCAACAGAGGAAGAAGAAAGGAGCTTCAATACGACAAGGACAAACTGTTTGAATTTTGGAGCTCACGTTCACATGAATATCATGCCATCAGCACTACTGCAATAAAGATTTTATTACCATGTGCGACTTCGTACTTGTGCGAGACGGGCTTTTCTGTAGTTGCAGTAATTAAAAACAAGTACAAGTCAAACATAAACTTAAAAAAGAAATGAGAGTAGCAATTTCCAAACTGGAGCCCCGGTTTCATAAGCTGTGCACAAAAAAGCAAGCACATTCCTCACATTAACCAGTTAGTTACATAAATAAATATCCCTTTTCAGTGTCGTGTCTATGTTTTGAGGATAACTATTTGGATACTTGTTTCGAATATTTAAATCTGCAAAATAAAAATATCATTCATTTTGACCCGTTTAATGTTATCCATGATTTGGATCTGTATTTTCATTGTAAATAAAGTAGTTATAGCAAACTGTCGGACGAGACTTGACTTGAATGTTCTGAATTTGCTAAAGACGTGCATCTCCATCGTGTACTTAATTTTCTATCATCTAGCTCTTCGCTATTTTGGGTTAGTGTAATTTTGTTCGAAATATCATTTAACATTACTACATTTACATTACATTTAACATTACTAATATAACTAAATAACTTAAGATTAAAAATAATGTTGTCTTACCCGTAATTGTGATCATGTAGAGTAATTCGAGAAGCCGAATTCAGCTCTTCACCGGCAATCTTTTGGAAGTGCGTATTATCGCATGGATTCTGCCGCCGTTCCTCCGCTACCTATTCTATCTAGGTATTTCTAGAACAGATGTTCTTATTATATATGTCCCCGAGGTGGCCTTTGATTATTGAGTGTAGGTGAACTGTTTTGTAAGCGATATCCGTGTGAATTGTAAGCGATAATTATTAATGTAATAGAAAAACACAGAAAAACGTGACAATATTTTTGATAGTTTCTTGTTCTCTATTATGATACATTTTATTATTTTTAAACTTCCCAAAAGGTGTAATATTGCAATTTAAATAAAAATTATAATACTTTGAGCTAGAAAGAAAAGCCTTGACGCTATAAAACATTTTTTAAATAAAAAACTTACAGAGATTTTAACTTTTTTACTCATATTTTTAGGTCTTGTGGACTTTCAGTATTTATTTGGAATCGGTGGCTATATTGCCGCAATTGTTCATGGTCAGTAAAACAGGAGAAGCAGAAAGTATTACTTCCCACTACTTATTCGCATTGGGATCTTATAGGGCACTATACATTTTGAACTGGATCTACCGTTATGCAACTGAAACTCACTATGATCTCATCGCTATAGTAGCCGGTGTTGTGCAGACTATATTATATTGTGACTTCTTTTATCTTTACATTACTAAAGGTAAGTTTAATTTTTAAAATATTTACTTATCCCACTTTAAAACCGTTTTTAGTCTAATAAATTTGGGTGTATACAGATTAAACGAAATAAATTCGGAACATACGAAATATTATGTATTTCGGCTCAATTCTGTTCTAGGTGGTTGGCCAACAAAAGGTTGTCAAATAATTATATTCTAAAAATCCAATACTTCAGCGGGCTGCTTGATGTTGAAATCATTCAAGAACAATTCAAAACTCTACCCAAATAGGTTGCCCCGCCCCAAAACTCTACCCAAATAAAAATTGAAATCTACGCATAAATCTAAGATTTTTTTATGCTGTCAAACCACTTATCGCTTCCCATAAATGGATATTTTGAGCGGTGTTGCCAAAATCATTCCTCTAGATGTTTCTCAAATAAGTTGTTAACCATAAAATATTTACAGAAAAGAAAGGAAATAACTACAAACCATTAAGTTTATTTTTGTTATTAGTCTGTTGTAGTAGATTGGTAAATACAATGAAAAATATAGGCAAATATCCGATTTATTTAAAGATACTACAACGTTTATATAGTATAGTTACTATACTTTTAAGAAGATATAACTCTCAAAAGATCCGCAAATCGGATTATTACACGGCGATTGGCAACATTATTACGCAAATAACATTGTTGAGAGACAGATAGTTGAACGATTTTTTATACAATGTCTATCGCCAGGTATGGATTTATTTTTGTCCAAGTTTTATATTGGTCCACTATTTCAAATGCAGTTCAAACAGACATATGTTAAATTGTATGATCCGTTTTAAATTCGTTCAATCTTTATGTATATATATATATATATATATATATATATATATATATATATATATATATATATATATATATAATTCATTTGTTCGACTGGACTCCCTCTCCACTCGATATCCCACTACCACACCTTATCAAACGCAAGCGATCATCGTACATCGTATGGTAAATCTAGCCGCCAGTGTAAAAACGAAACACAGATATAGTGCATGTCAATTAGCCAAAAACATATATTTATACGTAGATATGAAATTTAAAATATTAACTAAAAAAACTAAAAAAAATGTTATTTTATTGCCAAAATTGCTTGAAAAAAAAAATTAGAATTCTAAAAATAAAAATAAGGAATTCTAAAAATAACATATTTATATTAAAAACATAAATTTAATGTAATAGAGGTTCAAATATTCCCCCTTTTTCTGCATAGCATAAACCGAATCTATTATACAGATATACTCTCATATCCCTTAGCATTAAGCAATTCCGATCTAATGCTACCACAAAGATGAATTATTTTCTCCCTCAATTTCGCCAAATTTCGGGCTCTTTTAAAACCATGTCGATAAACACTTGCTTTCAAATATTTTCAAAGAAAAAAATCATTTGAGGATCAGTATGGTCTAAATTAATTTATTTCCAAAAATAGTTTCTAAATAATTTTGAACTTTGCTCATGTATTGTCAGCATAACAGCCGTCTTGCTGAAACCAAATATCGTCAAAGTTGACAGTAGGTAATTGAACTACCGGAATAATTTGCTTTTACGACAGTTCTAAATATTTATTGCCCGTTAAATTTCCATCAATAAAAAATGGGCCGACGATATAGTCCCCCAACATACCTGTTAAGTTTTTGGGGATATTGTTCGTACTGGAATACTCAAGTGTTTATTATGCTGAGACCAATATCGTACGACGGAAGGATTATGTTTCCGATATAATGAAAATGTCGATTCATCGGTAAACAAAACGTTCTTTAAAAAATGTTCACTTTCATTTTGTTTATCCTGAGTTCATAAAATTCCATGCGTTTGAAATTTTCCTCGGGTAATAACTCATGAGTAGTTGAAACTTTAAAACAACGGTAATCGTTTTGTTTCAAAATATTCCTGACAGTGCTATCAGTCACGTCAACTTCTTCAGCAATGGTTTTGCTTGAACAAGGATCACTATTTTCAGCAACGCTACAAACATCAATTTTCCTATTTTGACGAACTTCGTTGAGTATTTTTTCTCGTGGTAGATTCGTACATGCGCGTACGTGCGCGTGCCAAATACGCTTCTACGACCACAAATCGCAAAAAAGCAGCAATCCAGTGGAACACACATATTAATTATAAAACATCGCGACGTTGTCTTGAAATTTACACTGGTTAATTACAAATCAAGGAATCTCAGTAATTGTATTAAAAACTATATGTTTCGTTAAAAAACTTCGAAATAGTAAAAGGTACATGTTAACTTGGGAAAGGAACAATGTGACCAATTTGTGGCAATAATAAGGATTAGAACTATTAATTTAATAAAAAGGCACGCACTTCGAAGCAGACAAGTTTTATTTGCTTCCTCACTGTAGTTTTCAGTAACTTGGATTCGCAGTTTACCTAAACTTAATCGTCGTCGTTGAGAATTCTTCTGACTTCATGTTTCTTCATGAGCCCGTTTGGGGATGAGCGTCTTCGTCAAATTTGCTTTAGTTATTTCTTTGGAGAACACTCCTTGCCACTGACATAATTTTTTGTAACTTGTTCTGCTACTATTATTCCATAAATTGATGATTTTTCTCTTTGGAATCCAAGTTGTTGTTTCGCTATTCCAACGTCTTTTGTAATGTGTTTTTATAAGTAATTTGTTTTTCCCAGGGTATCCAGCAAGCAAATTGGTCTAAACGAATTTTTCTCCTCCATTGACCTGGATTTAGTTCATCTGGAAACTTTTGTCTTAGAAAATTGTTACAGATAGGCAATAACACTTCTGGTTTATGTTTGATTAATATTTTTATTAACTCCTGGATCTGGTGTCTTTTTTGGCTTAAAACTTCCTGCCTCTCTTAATTCCTCCATTGTGAAATCTATTGGTGTCTCTACTAATGTGGTTCGTTTTAGTTCCACTTTGTCCTAAGCAGGGAATCTATTTATTGCCACCCTCATCTTCTATTTTTCTCCAAACTATAAGGCATTTCCGGTTTGTTCTTTTTACGACTATTTTGTAGGCGTCCCCCAGATGTCTTGTTCTAGTGCTTCGCATAAAGTTTTCCAGCATTCTCTTTTAGTCTTGTTTATTTGTTCTTTTGAATCCTTTTTATTTTCTTTTTATTTATTTTTTGCTTCTTTGACATTAAAATCTTTTTACCCTCCCCCTTGTTTCTACGAATTTTTTTATTAGGTTGTCTATTTCTTGGTTACACCAATATAGCAAAAACATTTGAATTACTGTTAGTCGTTGCTAGTCCTGTGGAAAGAAACCATAACTTGATATATCGACTTTCGCTAAGTTTACAGGAGAGCTATTTTAAGATAAAATGTCTCTGGTAAATCTAAATATTAACGTACAATTTATAACTAATAATAACTAATAATTATTGAAAGAGTTAAGTACGTAAGTGAATTTTTGTTAAATATCAAAGTTATTAATGGTTGTTGAACATAACAAGTTTTGCCATCTTCTGCTTGACCATGTTTTTGTAATCGGAAAAATCAATAATAACTAAACTAAACAACACAGAACAACGACTAAAAAAACAGAAAGCTTAGTGAGTAAGAGCACTCTTACCTCTTCCTTTTGCATGATACTTTGTATCCGAAATTTTCATTCTTTCACACAACGTTTGATCTCTTACTTTTATTGGAAAAAATAAACGCTTTTAAATATTTGATTTGGTATTTCTGGTGTTACTATCTCGAAACACTTTTTCCTCTGACAACATCTCGTAATAGGCTTAAGCGTGATGGGACCTTTCACTTCACGTTTTCTATTTTTGTAGGCCATACCATGATCTTTCTTATTTTTTTCTTGTTCACGCGCTTTAACTCCTTTTTTTCTTTTTGGTTTAGGGGGAGTACTAGTAGAAGTAATTATTTTGATTGTATTCGCTTGTTTGCTGCTATCGGAAACCATTAGTGGACTGCTAGGTATATTAAGTTTATTATCAAACCCATCTTTATCTACAAAAAAAAACAAGTATTCAGTAGATCTTGAAATGTTTCTACAGTTTGTGTACGTCATCAATCCCAATCCTCAGGTCATTCAACCTTTAAGATCTTTGAATAACTACTTTACCACAAAACAATTTTTGGAGTTGCAATCTTTAAAATAAAGCATTATACACACTAAACAAATTACCTTTAGGGTCACTTTCCGATCTTGCCTTTTTCCGCTTTGGAGGTAATAGCCTTCGTTTCTTAAGTGGTTTTCAAGGACAGGAATCCATAGTGGGTCTGCATCTCAGTCATAAGAGTCTTCATCGAAATACTCCTATAACAAAAAAAAATATTTAGTTTTAGCTACATTAGGCCCACAACATTAATATTTACCTGGGGTTCATATGTTGACTTAAGGCCACTAGTTGAAGGTTCACACATCAAAGTATTGTCTAAGATAGAGATTACGCCAGTAGCTGGAACTTGTTCTTCAAACGTACAATTACTATAAGTAAGACTAATTCACTTCACTCGAATAAATTGGATCACACTGTACAAACGTTTCTAAACATCTTCCGAAATGAACCACCCATTCACTTCGATTTACACATATTGTTTTACAGTTAGTACACGAAGAAGGCATCGTCGTAATATTCAGTTGAAATTATTGAATAACTGATAATTCCCCTATAAGAACTATTTCCCTCTATTGCCATGCCAAGCTACTTTAATTATTCAAAGAATTAATCCATAGTTGTTAAAACACAACTGTTTACTAATAGCTGGCCATACATGCACTATATTAATTTAATAATTTACAAATTTACTGCACTTTAGGTCTTTCTTAGGTAATTGTTAATATATGGTGGAACACGTTTATTTAAAAATACTAAAATGGTCAAAATTATACATTCGTTTCAGTACAATCGTACCGAAACGGCAACACATCAAAAAAAGTAAATATTGAAAAATAATCAAACTTGATAAAATAATAATAATTATAACACAACTTGCTTAGTCGCATCTCAGTAGTTTAGTCATGTTTAATAAGACGGCAATACATGATGTGTTTACATAACAGATTCAGGATCACTATCAGAGATGATTTTCTTAGGAATGGTACAACTTGATATGTCAACATATCATGTTATGCTTTCTTTGAGAACCATAAAAATTAGCCGATTTTTAAAAGTGGAAGAATTACATAAATCAACATATCAAGGGTTGACATCTTACAACTTTTTCTTTGTAACGTTATAGTCAGAGGCGTACATTGTTATGTTAACTTATCAAGTTATTACCTCTTCTGTAATGTCAACTTATGTCATCACGTGTGGGCATGCTCCGTTATTATTAGGAATTCGAACTATCAAATTATACCATTTTGTATTTTAGATCTCGCTCAGACGAACACAGTTATGTCGATAACTCAATTTTGCTAAAATGTCAACATATCAAGTTATGCCTTCTTATCACAGAGTTTACAACTGTGTTTTCCATTATTTTGAGATCGCCGATGACGAATATTTTTTAATGTTTCTTTTGTACATTTACGAATTTGTACAATTATAATTTGTTTTGCGCAATAACAGTTAATTTTATAATAATGTCTCTTATTTTTGTTTTTTAAGTTAACAAAAAAGAAATAACCAATTATTAATAATTTTGTTTTTTTTTGTTTCAGTACTCAAGGGAAAGAAACTACAATTACCCGCTTAAACCCCCTTATATAAGACTTAACTGTACAAACATTTTATTTTCAGCTAAACGGTATTAACACAATGATGCCTAATGATCATGTGTTTGGATAGCAATCAATATCCACATTTTATTTTTTGTATAAACGTTTACCATTTCGTCAGAAGTTTCAATTATATAGGATTAGAATTAAATAGTTTTTGTACAAATTTCGTTCATAATAACCAGAAAATATATATTTTTGTCTTTACTTTTAAGTATTTGTAATTACTTTTTTCGGGGTTGTTTAACCCTAGAGGAATTCTGGGCCCAATGGGTTAATAGTACTTTCGTGTTTTGTGATTGTTTTTAGAATTTTTTCCAAGAAAAAACTCGCCACCAAAGCATTTTTCGGGACAGAAAGTAATATAATAAAAATATTTAAAAATATATTGGTGTTCTTATTAAACTCCTGCAAAGTGCTTGATTTAAGATGATTATTTATAAATTTGAATATTTTGATTTGCAAGCAATTTAAATGAAATATGATTATACTTCATTCCATTTTTATTTACGTCATGGACAGCTTTATACGCATGTAAACTAACGATACTTGCTTTAAAATTTTAAATCCTTATAATGGTGTCGGAACATAATATTTGTATTCAATTTCTCTGCTATCAATGCGAAACATTTGCATTTTATGGGTTAAAAAAATACAGATATTCGACAAGGTGGCAATATCTACCCAAAGAAGACGTCTTTAAACGACTAGAATGGGATGATCAAGAAATTTGAACCCTCTATTATCTATATTGTCTCAGATTATCTGACGGCATTGTTTTAATAACCATAGCCTTTTAATGATGTAAGGCTAAAAGTGACTTAAGTACAGAAAACAAAAATGACGAGCGAAGAAGAGCTACTAACATCTCCATTTATCTCCATAATGCATTTATTTTGCTGCACAGAACCAGAAAAGAAGAGATCAGAAACATAACCAAAAACACGGATCTAATGGAAGAGTCGACAAAAATGAAATGCCGGGAATGTGGCAAGCAAATTAGAAAATGTGTAGATGATATCCGAACTAGAGCAGGATCACGATGGATACGCAAGGCTTATGACCGTGGTCAAAGGAAGAATTGGGGTGAAACCTATATTCAGAATTCAATTAATTGGGTTTAGGCGAGGCAATGAATCAGTAAAAAGTCCAAAATCTACCAAATTTTTGTAGTAGGATAACTCTCAATAAAACTTTTTACATTCGATTCGTATGAGTTTCAGGAAATTTTGTGATGATTTGGTGTTGAAGTGATAAAAAATTATAAATTCGTAATTTGTAAATAATTAACGGAAATGCGTTCAATATTACTACTCCGGCGTTTTTGGGTCGATACAAAATCAGTGCAAATTCGTTGAGCGTGATGGTATACGATGCCTCTGATGCAAAGGACGGGCCTCGTGTCCTCAAGAATTGTTGTAAAATCAGTACAAACTCGTTACTTGCTGGTTTTGATGTCGCCAAACTCCTTATACCATGTCGGGGATAATGTGCGAGGCACCTGGTGTCAGAGCGGGCCTCGTTTCCTAGATTTTTCTGGGAATTTGATACAAAATTAGTTAACTCGTTAGTCGGGGCATTTTGGGGTCGCTGATCACGAATATCATAACAGTGATGGTCTCTGATGCACAAACTTAAGGAGACCAGCGCACTCCTGAGCACAAGGTGTCTCGGACACCATCACCGTCGTGATATTAGTATTCAGCGACCACAAAACCTGCAAATAACGAGTTTGCACCGATTTTGTATCGAATTTCCACAAAATTCCAGGAGACGACGTCGTTCTGTACCCCAGGTGGCTCGTACACTATCGCCGACATAATATTAGTGTTCAGCGTTCCAAAAATCCCTGAATAAGATGAGTTTGCACTGATTTGGTATCGAATTTCCAAAAAAATCTAGGAGGCAAGGTCGAGGTGTACCAGGTCCCTTGGAAAACATCGCTTTCATGATATTCATGTTCATTGACCCCAAAAATCCCCAAATAGTAATATTTAACTCATTTTCTTCGATAATTATTTCCGAATTACAAATTTATTATTTTTCATCACTTCGAAATGCTCTTTTGAAAATGCATTTTTCTTGTTCAATAATGCAATTTTCAATTTCACATCATCATTTTTGTTCACAAAATATCCTAACAACTACGATTCGAATGCAAAAAGTTTCATTGAGATGTATCCTACTGCAAAAGTTTGATAGGTTTATTGCTTCATTGTTTTACCTGGTTGCAAAAGAAGAAGCGAAACTAATAATGAGGTTTCAAATAGGTTTTTATTAGAACTTTCTAAGATAGGTATAAATTATTAAAATGATGTCGGATCGTACAAAGGCGTGGTGTTATATATTAAAAAATGGGAATAACCAATGGCTCATATCACGATTTGATAGAGGTTAGCTTAAACTTACATCCAAATAATGTAATAATATTACATAATCATTATATTTATTGTACGAAGAGAAAAGTTTTCAAATTACATAATACTTTTTAACTTTGTAAATACAGGCTTACTGTAAATATTTTATATGTAGTATCCACAGGCAAAAATTCGACTTAAGTCCTTTCGACGTAAAAAATGGAATAAAGAATAAAAAATGAATATACATGATAAATAAAAATTGGAAATATTTTTTAATAGAATTTTAGATTACTACTTTATTAAAATTATTTCTTGTGGCATTTTAAACTTGATAAGTTCGATTATTTGGAATTAAACACTATATAAAAATTGCAAATACTTCATTTGGACCTTTCCTTCTCCAGATCTAAAGGTATTTTTACAACACAATTTAAAAAAATAAATAAGTAAATAAAATGCCATCAAAATCATTTTGAAAACAAAATAAATTAATTCTTCTCATAATGTAATTGTTTCTATCTCTCGCATTTAATAACAATTTAGATAAGCTGTTATAAATTTTAACGTAGAATACTTCAAAACGATATTTTCAGTAGGTACTTTGAGGTACATTCCTGGAATGAATTATCTGAGTAGAGTTTATTTGGTTACTTGAAATCTACTTTAACTATATCGAATAAATAATGATAACATTTATTAGTACCACATATTCCATCGTATCCAATAATAGTAAAACCATTTTGGTAATAATTGCGTAGAAGGAAAAAACTTTATGGTACTGTAGTGTTTAGCACCTAGAAAGAACCAGTACATATTCTAATTTTTGTACAAGTCCCACCAGAATGGTGTTTACATCGATCACGGCACGAAACGACGTTAATATTACTCATCAGCCTAAAGTTGACGAAATTACTCAAGATGTGGTTCTTACTTGTTCTTATTGTGCCATCTCCTTTCGAAGGTTATCGATCCAATTGGAAATCGCTTCACGAAAGATTTGTGCTCATGAGCGATCAAACCATCTCCTCAGGGACCGACTTCATCCATTAGTTCTGTCATCTTCCTAGTGATTCGGAGTAATTCATATTAGTCAATTACCAAAGTATTGTATTTTCCTCCTTTGATTGTGCTTAGCAGTTCTTTTTGTTTACTCATGCGCGGAAGTACCTCATCACTGGCAAATTTGTATTCAGGGAATTCTCAGCATCCGTTTTTATATATACCTCTCAAAGGCATCTATTCTTTTTTCTTCAGAATCCATTGTCCAATTTCCACAGCCATAGAGCAAGATAAAGAAAACGTAACATCTGATCATTCGGGTTCTGATCTCCAGACCAAGGTCTGAACTTGTAAAAAAATGTTTTCATGTTCTTGAATGAGTTTTTTCCTGGCTGTTCGGTTCTTGATAGAATTTCTTTTTATCAAGAATCGAGTTTATAAGTTTTCAGCTACTGTAAGAGTAAGGAAGAAATAAATATATGTATGCTAAAATTAAAATCAAATCAAAACTTCAAACTAGTATGATAAATAAATATTTCTGGAAAAATAGGTCGGTGAAAAAAATTATCGTCTTTTTGACAAAACCAATTTTGTAGCACTGAATTCTGTTATTATCATCTTGCAATACGTTTTCCACAATCTCACATTTATTTAGTCAGCGATAAGCGATTCAGTCAGTCATATAAGCGTTACGACGTGCTCTCCGGACGATTTTTGATCTATTGCGTTTGGTTTTTCCAATTCGGATACGCTGCCTATCTTAATGGGATCTCAACGGAATTATTGTTAAAAATATTTTTAAATCTATATATTAAATTTGATTATTTGGAATGAAATAGAATTTTATGTCGATATTAAGAGCAAGGTAAATGTTATATTTAGTTTCACATTAGGATAGTTTCAAAGTTGATTTCAAGCAACCACATGAAATCCTCATATGGCTAGGAACATACCTCAAAAAATACGAATGCAAAAAATAATATTTCAAAGTCTTCTTTATATATATATATATATATATATATATATATATATATATATATATATATATATATATATATATACTGTGTTTTTGACATTTTAACGACTTTCGGTGTGGATTAATAATCTGTAAAATCCTATCTCTTATTGTACTACGCAAAAGTAAATCAGATGAAACGAAATTTTGAGATGAATTAAAAATTTAATTAAAGAAAACGATTTTGCAATTTTTATATTTTGAGTAATGACCATCCATTAAGTTAAGAAAATTTTAAATTAAGATATTAATTCGATTTTTTTTATGTCTATATTAATTTGACTCAACGTAACTCAGAAAGACTCATTGGGTCGAGTTTTCTTTATTCAAAAATTTTTTTGTAAGCTGTCCTGAAATTTATTTTAAGTTCCTAATTTCGGTATTTTAATTTTTTTAATGTTTGTCTACAGTTTTTCACTTAAATGAACTTGTGTGTTAGCCTGAAGGCATTTTCTCCTTACATGTATATGTATTGGGGAAGATCTAAGGCTACATTGGAATATGATCTCATTGGATCAGTAATTCCTATACAAACAAGTCTTTGTAATTTGTACAACTCGACGTTCAGAGATCTTGTTACTTTAAATGGTCAAATTTACGAGGTGCACATTCCACGTAAGTTTCCTGCCAATGGTAATTATTAGATATTTAACATCTTCCGCGAATGATAGTGTTATTCCATGCATAATTGGGGGTTAAAATGAAAGATATCTATCAAGATATTTTTTACTAGAAAGAACGTTTGATTATATGATTTCAACAGAAATTAAATACAGTATGGGCCTCGTCTCCTGGTGTTTGTGCATCAGCGATTAATTGTGTATCGAACTTC